CTCCTCATGACGGTCAATAAGCCAGAAATGGGAATTCCACTTTTCCCTGTTTTTGTCGGTAGTGTCATTCTATCCAGGCCTCAATCAGTTTTCGGCATGGGCAGTTTTTTTTGGTGGCACCGGGTGCGATTACCTGCTACGGACTTCCCCCTGTGCTTTAATCTGTTCCTCCTATTTATGACTGTCGCACAGGGTAGCCTTGGACCCATGTGCGATTCCGACACCTCATCCCACAGCAACATATTGGATCGCCCTTGAAACATCCTTAGTGCATGACAGAGCATACCATACAATCGGTGGTTTCCGTTTGGGTCCTCCTGGAGAACACATAAGCATAGTCTTATAAACGTCTGTGGACAGCCATTCTGCAAGAAGTGGTTGCAGAGATGCCGTAACCTCTGTTTTTTATTCCGGCTTGTCGCAGTGATTTTGAAGTTGGTTGAAGAGCTGATATGAAGACAGAGAATTTGTACGATGTTCACGGTCTTCCTATAAACCGCCACCACAATTTCCTCTGACGAGCATATCAAGAAGAGGCGTCCGCTGCTTCTTTTTTTATTCCCCAGTGATTTTTATCTGGGAATATTGTTTTTAACAGGTTATGTACATTCTGCAGCAGGGTTTCACGGACGATAACATATGTGTCCTTAAAATACTGGCACTAAATGATTGCTTCATGCTGGATGAAGGCAGTTCTTTTTAACTTCCAGAGAACCTGTTGTATTATTGAATTGGAGACTTGGTAGCCCATGGAAGTTTTCCCGATCTGCACATAGGTTTCTTTGGCAAAGGCAGAAGAAGTCTTTGGCGGCTGTAAACTTCATTACGGTCAAGTGTCATTTCCAGAAATACCTTATAATTTACAGACGTGGCTGCGGTACGGGCAATAGCGTACCGGGTGCACTCGGGTGCAGTTGGCCAAGCCTTTTTCCACATAAGACTCAGTCGGAGGAGTTCGAGGCGGAATCGGTGAGAGCGAGCGCATAAACTGCCACAGGCAATGCAAAAAGTGTGTAGGACGCTCATCAGCACCACAAGAGGTTCGGAGTGACCATCGCACCTGGTAGCCAGAGCCTAGTGCCAAACATTAGTTTGGCCACGCTGCAATCCAGATCCGACTTCAGTGCCAAACGCATGCCAAGAAGTGCTAGGGGCACATTGTCAGACCAGTCGGCTGGCCTCTGTGCGGCACGCAGGACGGTTTTGAGCTGGCAGTGGAAACGTTCAACCAAGCCGTTAGCAGCTGGATGGTAGGCCGTCGTTCGAATTCGCGTTCAGTCAAGAAAGTTGAGGAGGGCTTGGAACAGATTCGAACTAGGCAGTTCGGTCGGTCGTAATCGTGGATAAGGCACCGAAAAAGGTGATCTAACGACTGACGAAAGCCTTAAAGATGGTGTCTACCTGCATGTTCGGTTAGGAGATGGCTTCGGTCCAGCGGGTGCATCGGACAACACAAGTAAGCAAATAATTGAAACCGTTGGATTGAAGCAACAGGCCTACGAACCGAGATGCACATGCCTGAAGCAAGCGTCGAGGTTGGGGAAGGTGCCGGGTTGTGACCTGTTGTGGCGCTGGACTTTGTTGCGTTGGCCACTCGGGCACGACCGGAACCAGGCTTTGACGTCCCTGTTCATGTCAAGCCGGATGAACCTTTACGTAAGGAGTTTCTGTGAGGCTCGGATACCAGGGTGGGAGAGTCTATGAAGAGTATGAAACACAGCTCAAGACATCAGGGGTGGCACAAAAGGGCTATGAAAAGTAGTCGAGATCTCACAGAGGATGGTGCCAGTCCCGGTGCTGAGGAGAATGCCTGCGAGCTGAAGACCATTAAGGGCTTCGTCGCTAAGAAAACCGACTCGTGTTTGTTCGGCAGCCATAGCACTAAGGTTGATTCCCTGTGAGATTTGAAGCGCAGAGATGGAAGATCTAGACAACAAGTCGGCCACCTCGTGTGGCTGATGTCGGTGGTGAACTGCGAGATGAAGTGCAGGTGTCTAATCTCTCTGAAAATGTACTTATCGGAGTGGGACCGAGGAGCAAAAGTAATCGACTTGTGGTCCGTAAAGATTTTGAAGTCCTGACCCTCAAAAAATGTCGGAAATGCTTAACAGTCAGGTAAATGTCGAGAAGTTTACGGTCGAAGAAGCTATAGCGCAGCTGAATGGACAACAGTTTGTTCGAGGAAAAGGCCAACGGTTGACTCGAACTGACCAGGTGTTGCTGCAGGACTGCACCCACGGCTACGTTTTAAGCATCTACCATCAGAGACAGCTGAGCTTCGGTAGCGGGAGCAAGGTGGCGTCGAGAAGGGCAGTATTTATTTTTTCGAAGGCAGCCAATGCTTCCTCAGTAAGTTCAAGTGGACCTTTGGGAACAGACAGCAGATTGAGGATCGGAAGCATGAGGCCGGCACAGTTCAGGAAGAACCGGTGACAGAAGTTGACCATGGCCAGGAATCTTTGCACCCGACGCTTAGAGTTGGGCGGAGGGAACTCACGAATCGCTTCCATCTTGGATGCCAGAAAAGGCTATCACAAAAATCCAGGAGAATGGTCTTCGCAGGCCGATGGTCAGAGTGAGGGATAGACTGTCAAATTTGGAAATAGAAGGGGAGTTGACAGCTTTGAGATGGAGACCAGAGTTGTGACAGCGACCGTCGGCTGGGGTCAGAGGAACCACACTGATTCGGGCCCCGGTGTCGACGAGAAAACGAGTCTAGGTGCCGCAGACATAGAAATTGCACACTGTTTTCCCTGTGTTGATTTGAAAGAACCAGGGACTTATCGCCGCTGGGACTGTGTGTCGAATTTCACATGATACTGAAATAAATAGATAAAAAATTTTTTATATTTTAGGCCCGGAGGCCACCGCCATTGCAAACTTAATGCTATGGTAAAAATAAATACAATATGGATATATACTACTCTGTGTGAGCAACCAAACAGGCAGCGGGAGTGTTTATTATGGTGGGCA